TCTATATACATATATATATATATATACACACACACATCCAAAAAGTTAACCAAATCCTGATGTTGAGTTTTTGAGCCGATTGTTAAATTCTCTGCTGTGTGCAGTTGGGTTATTGTATTACCCCAGACTTGTGGGTGAACTGTCTCAGTGCTGGTAGTAGCTGTGATGCAGTTTGTGATCTACCTGTCACTCTTGTTTATTGGATGAAATAAACTCTCATTTCTGTATAATGAAGGTCTCCATGACTAGAATAAAACCATCTCTCTCTCTCTTGCTCTTTCTCTGGGTGATTTTCAAACTGTGTTTAATTATAACCTAATCTTTTCATCCCGTAGAGCTTAAAAAGCTATACATGCAAGCAGGTGCTGTCACTAATAGGGAAGGTGGAACAGACCTGCGTCAACAGAGGTATCCAGTGAAACAGCTCGTCAGATGTGGAAGTTAACTCCCTTTCTCCAGTGTAAAGGAAAATGCATTGAGGTGCTTCAGTGACTGGACATGCAGAAGGTGGGAGCTTTGCGCACACAATTGCTTGGTTCTTAGAAAGGTGTTTTTGCCTAGGGTGTTTGTGGAACACCGCAAGCAGGTGTTGAGTTGTAGTTTCTCTGCCAAGCAGTGTCTTTTGGGCCCGTATCTGAAGCGCGGTCTAACCAAAGTCTAACACGTGTGGCCAGCTCCTGCTTGGAAGTTGCTCTGGGGCTGAAGTGGGATTTCTCCCCCGGTATAAACCGGGGAAACCTGTTCGTACTGTCTCCGTGCCAGAACAGCGAGAGCTGTGGGTCTTGGATCACGGTCGCTGCTTCTCAGCGACAACTGCATTTCCCCGTAATCCCTGAACGTAGTGCTGTCACCCCAGCGATGGCAGTGGATCCCTGAAGCCCCCGTGTAACGGGGCTCCAGCACTGCTTCTGCAGGAAGAAACCAGCAGCTTTGGGGTTGCTGACTGACATCACTGTAACGTTGATGCCTGACTGAGCCCCGAGTGCTGCTGGCTGTGGTACTTGTGCAGTCTCCCTAGTGCCCTGGTAAGACTTTCATAAGCTAAAAATCTCCTTAATGATTTTATTCATAGCAGATACCGGTGTGGGTTGAGTGAACAGACGGGACCTCCAGCGCCTCCCTCCTAGGGCTGTTCTAGCCATCTCCGTCTTGCATGTTTGTATGGGTTCTAACTTCAGCTTCTACTCAACTGAGGCAATAACCACTGCTTCCCTTACTCTCTCCTGGTTTTTTTTCCTCACTGGAACTGTCCCATCTATCCCTCGTGTTTATACATAGAGGGGTGCTGTTAAAGAATATTATATGTATCAAAATATGTGTATGTATTCAAGTCAATACTAGAGCCTTATTTTGCAAAGCTAGAAACCTCTGATCTGCCGGTTATCAAAGGTTAAGTACGGTCTGGTGAGAGTACCAGCTGCCCTGCCCCAGGCAAGGTAAAATCCTGTCCTCAAACAGCGCCTCCCCTTCCCAGCTAACGGCTGCTTCCTGGTGTTTGGTGCTTATGGCCTTCACGAAGCTTTTTCCTGTTTTTCCTCACACCAGAGGCGCAGAGGTGGGTCAGCTGCTCCCGTTCGAAGCTGGTGTGTGCCAGCGGAGCGGTTCCTGCTCGTGTGTCTGCCCTTGGCGGGCTCAGGGAGACGCTCCTAAAGGGAACAGGGTGAAAGATGAACCTGAACCTCGCCTCTGGATGCGAAACGCTAGCCGAGAGAAACGCCTCGGGCTTGTCAGCAGTCTACCTGTGGGAAAACATTCATGAAAGCTAAGGGAAAAGGGCCTTGATGCCAGGGCAGGTGTTTCGAGAGTTGGGCCAGCTCTTTTTATTAAAGAATTCATTCTTTTTTTTTTTTTTTCTTTCCTGGCTACGTTTCAAGATGATTTAGACAGAAGAAATACATCTACGTGGTGCCCGTCTGAATAAGTTTATTCAGAAAGCACATTTGTAACAGGATTAAGTCACCTCTGCACCAGACTGCAGACCTCCTTTGCTGTTCTCGTCTCCTTCACAGTACTAGAGTAGAACACCCAATAAATATTTATTCCGTTTACAAGAATGCTCTGTATTAAATCACAGCCCTGCCCCCATTAGTTATGATACAGATTCAGTAATGGCCTGAGCAGCCATAAACACTGCAAAAGGCTCAGTCTCTTCAAGGAATATACAGCATTTTACAGAGGTACGCTATGTACACCAACCCGTGCAGCCTGTGTCGCGCTCCTGCCAGCCACCACCAGCGCCACGCAAACGAAAGCTTCCATCTTCCCCTGGTGGGTTTGCAGGAAAGCACCGCTTGTTCTGAGTACGCTTTTTTCAGTTGTATATGCAAAAATCAAAATGAACCATCTGAAAGCGAAACAACTTAATCTGCTTCTGGCAGCAGAAGAAAGCGCGCTCTGCTGTGCTCTGTAAAGCTTGACCAGCTTGGACACGGAAGGAATGGTCTCTCGTTGTTGTTGACAAACCCCAAAATTGATACCGTGTTCCTGTGCTCGCACCCCTCTCGGCAGGGTGGCGGCGGGTGCTGCTGCTGGAGGCGCTAGCCCAGGCGGCCGTGTCCGGATCGCACAGCTGTGACAGCCAGCTCCCTTAAACCTCCCCTGCCATTTTCCTTAAAACTCCATGACGCTACCTATCCTAGGAATGGGCAGTTCTTGCCTGAGAGGCAGGCTGAGTTGCAGGATATCAACAAAAATTCCCAGGGGCTTGGCTTTGCTGCTGCTTCAGGGGCTGTTCTCCTCCCACCATGTTTTATTTTCTCCTTAGAGTTAGGGCTACAGCTTCGAGGCAGAGCCGGGTGATGCCTCTGTCGCTGATGTGTGGCCCAGGAGCTTAAAGAGGGGCCACAAGATCTTGGATTCCACTCCTCACCAAAACAGGAGAAGAGGAAACCTAAGTGATGGAGAACTAGACCCCCTAGAGTCCAGAAATTCAAAACAAAGCATGTTTATTAAGTGGTTTCCTTTTACTTATTTCTCCCATTTTTTTTAAAATAAATAAAACCTTCAGACACATACAAGCGAAACACATCATCCTTCAAAGTGCAGTTACATTTCCACCCCACTCCCGAGAATCACATAAAGCTTTGTCAAGTAACCAAAAAGACTCAAAAGGCAACCCCCCGTCCCTTCCCCTAGCGCTGAGAGTAACTGGGGCTGTAGTGCTGCCCCGCTGGCCAGGAGCCCGCACCTTTCGGCTCCTGGAGGCCGGCAAGGCTGGTTTCAGACACGGTTGCAAGAGGCAGGCTGCAGAAAGAAGTTTAAGATACATAGTGTGAAACAAAACCAACCTGTTTAGAGTCCAAAGAGTTCGTTACCGGAATAAGTTAGTTGGGGAGCCCTGGAAGGACCTAGGCTGATTACAGTCATGAGCGATGGATCAGAACCGCTGCTCAGTCACTGCTGCGACGCTGGTTGCGGAGTCTGGGATCAGGGATTAAGTCATTTTGCCCAAAGTCATGGAATCCCCTTCCCCCCAGCCCAGGTGAAGCGGCAGCACCAGCTGCCTCCCGGGATCAGTTCCCGTCTGCCTGTACTCCGAGCACACCAAGTAACAGCAGAAAGAGAAAGGGAGGATGAGGTCTGATGCTCAAGTTCCGTCTGTGCAATCCCTCTTTCCTGATGTCGTTAAAGTAGGTTCTGTTCTGACCAAGGGCACCGAGCAGAGGTATGGGCACGTACCAGTCAGTTAAGTCCTTTCAGGCTCATAGAAAATGGCTGTAAATAAGATTTAGCGCCACTTAAACTACCATGATTTTGACCTCGTTGTTCTCATCAGCACGGTAGAAGAAGGGAATGCAGGGGTTTTCCAGCAGGGAGCCCAGCCTCTCCTGAGGGTTCTGGATTTCTCTGAGAAGCTGCATTATTTGCTTTGCTGTGGGGTCCTCTTGGCTCGGCTGAGCAGCTTTACTGTCAATAGGGGAGAAACCGGATTGATGAAGAACAGCAGCCTCTTGTTCTGCTTCATCTGATAAATTCACTTCTCGTAACCCTGTAAGGAACACAGACAAGGCAGGCAGGTAACTCCTCCCATCCGCGCACGACACCGAGACCTGGGGTCGTTCCATTTTACAGAGCTCATCCTGGCTGCGGCTTACCTTCTCCATCGGTAGCGTTCAGTTCAATGCACCTCTCTGCTGGAAGCACGCTTTCATTCTGGCTTGCTAACAGCTCGGGGTTTTGAGCAGCTGCTACATACTTGCTGTACCATTCATTTCTTTCCCTGACCAGACGCATCACTAAATCCTGCAGTTCCAGTAGTTTCATCTGCACCAAAGTAAAGGAAAGCCTATGAAAGGTGCACATCCCTGTGGCCACAAACACTGCGCTACAGTTTCCAGTCCTGCCTCTGTCACAAAATTAGCAACTTCAAAGTTAAAGCTAGCTGAAGGACAACATGCGAAGGTTTGGGCTGTGCAAGTGCCCCCCCCGGCCTGCCCCGCTTGGAGTAGTACTACAGAAAAGAGTCCTTGCCTTCATCTCTTCCTTGTCCTGAGCCAACCTGCTGATGTACTCCTCCTTCTCCTGGTGTCGCTGTTTGAGGATAGCCCTTTGACTCTGGTATAATGCAATATACTCCCCTGGAATACAAGAGAAGCGCAAGGAGTCAGCGTTAGCACGACTGGGGTACCAGCCTTAGGGTGAGCACAGAACTGTGTGGCACGAGGCTCCAGCAAAGCCAGCCCTGGACTGGCGATCGAGCCTAGTTAGGCAGCAGGAGGAGACCTGAGCTGCTTGGTAGCTCCAAAAGCTGTTGGGGGCCTTCTGTTCCCCAAATAAATAATGCCCTGAGCAAGCTTTAGCTTGTGCTGCTGTTGCCTAAACATACCAATGGTGTCTGTTTCCCCGGACAGCTGTATGCAGCGATGTTCTAACTCTTCTAGCCGTTCCTTCAGATCAGCTTTCTCACGCATCAGGTCTGTGAAACGGGACTGAACAAAAAAATTGTTATCAATCATCTGAACTGCTTCGTGTACAGAGAACACCTGCGTTAAAGACGACACCCTCCATTCACATGGGTCTGAACCTAAGGAATAAATCTTGCTGCCTTTACAACTTGGCTCCAATTTGATGCTAAAAAGGAACAGAGAGGAGGGAGCGAGCGAGCTAGAGAAGGTGTAACCAAGCAGCTCTGCATTTTGGGAAGCAGAAGGCTGACTGATGAAACAAAGCGCCTTTAACCTTCTCATTGCTGGGAGAGCACAACTCTGGTCACACTCGGCTCTGAGACTGCAGACCACCTGCTTCATCCCAGCAGGGTGAAGATCCTCAGTCTGTTTTTCAGCTATTTCTTCAGAAAAAGACCACAGATGAGTGTCAGGCCCTTATACTCCCAGTCTGGGGGGGTGGGAGGGGAGTTACGCTGCAAGCTTTCCTGTGCTGAGACAAGCACTGATCAGCTTTTTAGGAAGTAGCTTCTTACTATGGAACATCCCCCGCAATTTGTCTGCGTGTGCTGTAAGAGTCTGGCCCTGGCTGAAAGCCGAGCGGAGCAGGGTAGCAGGGCTGAAAGAAGAGGAGATCCTTTGCTTACCTGTAGTTTCTCCATGGCAGTTTTCAAAGCCTCGTGAACCTCCACTGGAACAGTATCCACAGTGGAATCTGGAAGGGACAGGTGTAATTTACAGTTCCTCCTTGGACATGATGCACTCACAAAACCTGTAGATCCGCTTCACAGGGGCCAGCGCCGCTGGCCGAGGCACGCCTCCGTATTCACACTGTCCCCAAACTGCACCACATTTTTACCTCCACCCAGCGCGATGCTCTGTTGCTGCTGCTGCTGCCTAAGAGCTGCTATTTGCTGCAGGAGGCTTCTGCACTGCTGTTTCTGAGCAGCCAGCTGCTGCCTCAGGTCTTCCCGCTCCTTCTCCACTTGGGACATGGCAGATGTCAAGAAAGCGACCTAAGAAGAATTCCAGAGTATGCACGTTAGTGCTTCTCCTGTGTGAAGCACCATCAGTTGTGCATCTCAGGACAAAGAGAGTAACAGTTTACCCCATTCTATTTATAGGTACGAAACCAAGTACTAAGTGACGGCCCTGGAACTAAACCAGGCAGCAACTACTGCATCTTTTCTCATTCCCAAGTAGTACAAACATGCAGGTTAAATACTAGCTCTCCCGGTATCTGTTTGGTCGCAGTATTTTCCAATTATGACTGTACTTAGAGAAAAATCTAGTAGATATTCAACGCCATTTCCAAATTGCCTTCCAAACTAAAGAGAACGCCATCATTGTAATTACAGAGCTACTCTGCCAGCTGAGTTGTCTTCATAATTAAAGCCACTGCCAGACTTCCAGCCTGTCTTGCAAGGGTGCTGCAGAAGGCTTGGGTTTTTGCTGCTATGCACGAGGAAGTGTCACGCTTCCCTCGTTACTGCGCCTCAGCTGGTAGGGAGCACAGCTGATAAACAGCCTTCTCCACGCGCCCAGCGGAACCTCTCTGCAATTCAGCCCGCCTCCTTTTCTAGACGTTCGTTTAGAACTAAAACCAAAGGCTTTTCTACCCATTAAGACTCACCATTTCTTCATGGCTTTCAAACGTCTCTGGGATCACAAATGAAGATTTCTGGATTTCTTCGGTCATTGCTTCACTTTCAACTCCGTCTCCTGTACGAGGAGGAAGGTGAACAAAGAAGTAATACCCCAGAGAGCCCAGCTCTACCTCCTCCCTGGAGAGCAGCTGCAGCTACTCACCATCTAGTCGGTGCAAAATCCTGCCATCCAGGTCTGCTGCTAACTGACTGATCTGGGCCTGCAGCTCCTTGTTTTCCTTAGCTACAGCTTCCAGACTTTCCTGCGAGGGAGAAGGAGATCACTGAAACCTGTGCAAGCCAGACTGCAAACAGTCACTACATCTTCAGGCAGCAGGACTGTGGAAGGGACTGCGAAAGATCATCTGGTCCAACCTTTTGCTTAACTAATACTTAATGCAGTTAAGCACTTTTTCTTCCGTCTTTCCACTTGCCCCTTTTTACTGTTACCTTGGTCTGCTGCAGCTCTTTCAGGTGCATTTCCACTGTCACCTTCCCCTGAACCTCCTCGTGCTGGAGCCGATCCATAAGCTGTGTCTGAAGCAAGTACTGTTTGTGCAGTTCCTCCTTCTCGGCAGACAGCTGCTGGTACGCCACCGTGTACTGTTGTAAGTGGCCGTAGTACTGGTCCCGCTGCTCCTGCAGCCCCCGAGCCTCCTGTGTTTTCAGTTCCAGCTAACATAACAAGATCGAACCATCACATCAAACCATTTCTGCCAGAAAAGCTGATCCCTGTGACATGATCCAAACTGTCAACATTGCCCCAAAGCCACCAGCTAGGCGGGCAGCCACCATCTGCCCCCACATGCTGGTCCCCCACAGCAGACAGCAGACGATGGGGGAAGGCTCCCGGCTTGATCATTACAATATCAATTTCCATCCTTCCATCCGAGTTTGGAAAGCTGCCAGCAGTTTGCATAAACCGCTACATACCTGCCCTGCCATCCCACCGGCTGCTGCTTACCGTCTCTTTGAGCTCTCCCAGGTTCTCCTGCAGCTGCGCAAGCTTCTTGGCCAGCTCTTTCTTTACATGTTGCTCTGACTGTAGGGCACTTGTAACCTCCATGTTTTCATTTGTCTGCAAGACAAACACCACTGCATACGGAAACTGCCCCAACCAACACAAACATACACGCTTAATAAACCATGTTCATTCCCAAGACAACAGGGTGCCATCCCTTGTGTAACTAAGGGCCATAAATTGACTGTTCGGGGCAGTAAATAACTTACAGAACGGTTCAGGAGACAGGAGAAGAGCAAGGAAAGAGCCAGGGGAACCAGTGCTGGGACGGTGCCAAGAGGAGGCCTGGCACATCACACAGCCTGTCAGCTCCAAAGCAGATGGGTGGTATGAATATCCCAAACAGAGCCACAGACATTCAAAAACAAGGAGTTCAGAAACAACCAAAGAAAAATCATCGGCTAGACCATGTGTCAGTTTGCCAGGGCCCCAAAGGGGAAGCTGTTACATTGAAAGAAGCAAACAAGAGTAAGGATTCAGCTCCAGGACAGATAAGAATGACAGCAGCCGGAGAGAAGACTGCTGAGAACTTCTTCCTCATGGGCAAATACAGGGAACAGAAAACAGGTATCTTCAAGGGTAAAAGGGGAGGAGGAATACTCGGGGAAAGAAACAGCGTGACTGCCAGGGGATGAGAGGGAAAAGGAAACTGCTCTGGACGAAGATACTGGCTCATCTGCCAGAGCACCTGCGGGAGTAAGGAATTACAGGGAGCCTCCTGGCACGGCAGTGTATCACAGAAGACGGAGCATCCATAGCCTCAGAGGACAAGAGACGGATAACGCTTCTGCCAGTTTTTTACATCTGTGCTATGAAAGGATTGCACCAGTGAGGGAAGCAGTGGGAAAAGATGCACGAAAGAGACGTACCAGTTTGACAAACCCATTCTGCAGCTCAGCCAGCTGCTCCTTCAGCTCCCGATTTTGGCTCAGTGCCCTACTGATTGTGGCCTTGTCACTCTGCATGTCCTCCAGGATCTGCTGTCTGTCCACAGACTCCTCATTGTAGCGCTGCACAGCCTTCTCCAGCTCCAGGAGCCGCTCCTCCTGCTCCCGGTTGAGGTGGCTCAGCTGCTCGTTGTCCCGGACCTGGGCCTGGTACTGCCCATGCAGTTCCTCCTTCTCTTGCTGCAGCCGCTGGATCTCTTCCTGCAGACTCAGCTCAGCTGCTGTGGGCCCTGCTGGCGAGGAAGGCTCAACATCCATGGGCTTCATGGCTGAGGAAACGGAATCAAAAGCAGCTCAGTCAAAGGGCTAAAGCGCTGTGTAGTACACATCACTGTTACATACACAGAGCCCAACCGATAGGGCTCTGTGACCCAGAAGGCATCACCACCTGCAGCATCCAATCCTCGTTGCAGGGCACTGAGAGGAATGAAGGAGCACAACCACCCCAAAACCAAGCACGGCATCCTGCCGTGTGCTGCTGACTCCCTCACAGCCCTAGCAAGGGCATCCTGCCGCCCCAAACTCCCGGGCCAGACAGGCTGGCAGTACCGCCAGGCAGATACTAAAGACACGAACAGTCTGCTGGTCAATCAGTCGAAGTAGTTCACTTGCTGTTTGCTACGATGAAAGGTTTCTTTGGGTCACCAGGCTTCCAGCTGCCTTCGCGGCTTCAGAGCATCAGGCCTACTTGCACCTCCTGCGCAGAAGTTCCTGCACAGTGGGGCCAGAGTTAACCAGCTGGTACCCTGCAGCTGAAGCCCCGCTGTGGAAGCCCTACCTGATTTGCTCAGCAGCTCTGTAACATTGGCTTCCAGCTCCCGAATTTGGGCCATGTGCTTCTCCTTCTCCTCTGCCATTGTGTGGACCTGGAAGGCCACACAAGCGAAAGTTAAAACAGCGTTCATGGTGCATTTAGTCCTGCCTGTGTTTGTCAAAAGCAGCTGTGATACTGCCCCTGATGTTACCTGCTCAGAGAGCTGCTGTACCCGCTGCTGCCAAATGCTCCGCTCCTCCTTCAGCTTCTCTACATACTGATCTCTTTCTGCCTGCAGCTGGTGAAGTGACTCTGAGAGCTGCTCAAAACAAAATAGAACACACAGAAAATTGTATTGGCTAAATAAATTTGGCAGTGACTGCTTAAGGGATAAAGCTTGAAGAAACCAGTGTTGATGCAAAGCTCGGGCTGCGTTCTTCTGCCACACAAGCTTCTTTACAGACATCAAGATTTGGGTCGGATTTCGTACAACCTCTTACCTGAGCAACCTGGGTTTCCAGGCTCGCCTTCTCCTCCAGTGCCATCTGCAACTGCTGGTTTGCATCCAGACTCCCTGCCTGATTTGAGAACTGCCAACAAAACCAAAAAAGTTATGGCAAAACGTTAACATTCGATTTCTGCATAGCATTTCCCCTGATAGTAACCTGCCACACGATCCATGTTGTAACCAACCTCTTACCTGAGCAACCTGGGTTTCCAGGCTCGCCTTCTCCTCCAGTGCCATCTGCAACTGCTGGTTTGCATCCAGACTCCCTGCCTGATTTGAGAACTGCCAACAAAACCAAAAAAGTTATGGCAAAACGTTAACATTCGATTTCTGCATAGCATTTCCCCTGATAGTAACCTGCCACACGATCCATGTTGTAACCTTCCCTAGTTCTTTAAAGTGCTCCAACTCACAGTCAAGTTCAATGAAAAAAAAAGGGGGGGGGGGGGGGGGATAAAAAAAGAAAGATGCTGGGAGAAGATGAGAGATAGGGGAGGCTCAGACCTCCGGGAGCCAGAGTCCACCTCCAGCCATGCGGGGGGGGGGGGGGGTGATTAAAACCAAAATGCTTAGATTTTAGCCCTGTAAAACAGGCTGAACTGGGCAGCTCCTCCCTAGCAATTTTATATTTAGTTGTTTTTTTTTTTAATTAAGAAAATGCACTTTAATTAAATCATTTGACTCTCAAACTTTGTGCATTTCCAGAGTCTGTATTACACAGCCAGATCAGATGGTATAGAAGCTTGTGACCTTAAAGGTTGTCAAACATGTCAGGAATTTAAAGCCAATGTCTGGAACATGTCAGTGGCCTAAGTAGCAAGGCTGGTTCAGTTGAGATACAGTACTTTTCCCAGAAGAGTAGCAGTTGGCTTTATTTCAAGGGTAACTTAAGCCACTGTCTGGAAAAAAAAAAAAAAAAAAAAAAAAAGAGCAGTTTCTTCCCTCACAGGCTCACCTTAACACCAGGCTTGCTCTCTGAACTGCTAACATTCCCTTTCTAACTGGCTGCTCCTCTGAGCTTTCCCCAGCTGACCTTCAAGTTGCCATTGTCCAGTTCACCACCTTCTGCTAGGGTGGGCACAAACACCGCCCCTACTCAACTGCTTTCTCAATGAGACTGCACAACAACCGAGTAACCAAAATGCTGAACAGATACAGGCAGGAAAAGTCACCGTATTTTCACACTTGGTATGTTCAGTCACCCTCTCATATTGGATAACATGCTTTTAGCAGACCAGTGTCACATTGTCTTTCAACCTACTACTCCTTAGGATACAGACGTCCTGCTCCCCAGAGGCCTCACTGAAAGCCTTTTACTAAGAGGATGTCTTGATGGGATATTGCGCCTTCCTTTAAAAACAAGAGTGAAGTCTTGCCCCCGCTGTCAGAAGCAAAGTCTTCCAACGAGCAGTGTGATCTACCCTGGCATCCCAGCAGCGTTATCGTTACCTGTTGGATCATCAGTTCAGCCATTTCCAGTTTCTTATGCAAATCCTCCATATCCAACTTCATAGCTGCGTTCTGGGAAACCAGGGAGTGAACCTTCTCTGACAGCTCCGAATTCTGCTGCTTTATTTCCTCACTACTTTTGCTGAAACAAACAAAAAATTTAAGTGGCGTCACTATACGTACTATGGGTTTGCTGATACCCATGTCATAAATTTACAATCCAGTTCTTCATAGCAGCTAGAATCACAGAAACATCATAGCTAGTGACTTTTTTTTTTTTTTAATAGAACATCCAACCTCCCAAGTCACCACCTGTGGTCTGTGCCCCTTGTTATGTTTTGTGGCTCTACTGAGAAGAGTAGCGTTACTCTGCAGTAACAAGCAGGATGGACTTACCTTCGTTTGTACAGTTCCAGTTTCAGGTTGTCTCGCTCCTTCACTAACTCTTTATTATGCTGGAGAAAAAGGAAATTATTGAGTCATCTACAGACTTCAGGAAAACAAATAAGATGTTCAAAAAATACTTCATTTCACCTTTAGCGGATCAGCTAAAGTGGAAAAGGTCATAACTTTGGCAAAATCCTCAGGACAGGTTTGCTTAGAATCTCCTGAATTTGCCAGGAGTAAGTCCACTCAGTCTTTTCAAATGTGATGCTACTAACTGAACACGAGGTTATTTCTGCAAACTTCTGGATTAATACCAATACTGAAGTGTCTGTTTGATGGAGACCCTCCGGGGACGAGGCCTCAGTGAGGCTTCTGTTGTGTGGAGCCGGCAAGAAGTAAGTAATGAAGTAAGGTGCCAGATCTGAAGACAGCCACTGGACCATATGATTAGTGGTCACAGAAACCTGAATGAAGTTTGCCTTGATCATGGAGAATACAGGGCTTTACCAGGTTAATTAACAATTAACAAGGTTAATTTCTGCCTCTTCTCTAAGCAGGGACTACAGCCTTTGCAGTAGTGTAGTGACAAGCAAATAGCCAAAGGCAGAGCTGCTGGTTAAGCATAAACAGAGGTGACTCTTACCTTCTCTGACTGTTTTTGCTGCGTAGAGATGGAGGACAAAGTACGTTCTAGCTCCGATACCCTCTGGCGAGATGAATGTAAACGAGCAGCAAGGTTTTCAGCTTCTCCTGAACAAGTCAGAGCAGAGTCAGTTGACGCTACACCACAAAGAGCTTTTTGGAACTGGCTGAACAGCACTTTCTACTTTGTCAACAAGCTCTTAAGGCAGCACAGGGCTTTGTAAGTCAGTAGACCTGGTTCCACTCCTGGCTCTACAGGTGTATCATTAGCAACTCTGGGCAGTAAAGCTCTCTGTAACTACCTTCCTCACTTTTAGAGAGAGATGATGAAACTTCCTTTGCAGAACAATAGACAACATGTTGTTTGGTTGGGTTTTTTTTCCTAATAGAATAAATTTCTCAAATTTAGTTCCGAATGAAAGGCTCGGGTAAAACCTACATTAACATGACAGCTGTGTGGGAGGGAGGGGAGAGAAAAGGGAACAAAGTTTTAAAAGAATCAGAAGAAAGTCAGAAAGGAACAGTCTGGGGTAGTCACCAGGCCCAAACAGGGCTGACAAGGCTTTAGTGATGCACAAAAGAACCTCAACTGCCATGGGATTGACATGCTCCCATTTGGGGGCAGCTATGATGACAGAAGCAGTGACGGTGCCAAGTATTGCTCATTAAGGAGTCAGCGAGTGTTGTGAGCTGCCTGCCAGCAACTATCATGTCTGTGACTTGAAATCCACAGTTTAACCAACAGCTTGAGCTGGAGTGCTCACAGTCAGTTACCTGATTTCTGCCGTGCAGCTTGCTGAGTATGTCCAAGGGCTGTCTGCAGCTCAGACTTCTCAGAAACTAGAATTCCAATAGTCTGGATATGAACCTTCGGGAAAGGAAAATCACCTCAGTGCAAAACTTCTTTGCTTGTAACTGCAACATCACTGTTGCCACGAAAGGATAATTCAGTAAAGATAAAGAGCTCCTGCAGTTAAGTACAGTCTGGCTGACTGACTCTCCCAGTTTTTCTGAAGGAATGGGCTCATGCGGCTTCCAGGATGAAGACTGTGAGCAGTCAGTAAGCCAGAAAACAGCAGAAGCCAGGTGATACTGCTGTAATAGAGGCACTGCCTTACCTGCAGCTGTTCCCTCAGTGCTGCTTGCTCTTTAGAAAATTTCTGTTCAAACTCCTTCTTTTCCTGTATAAACAAATGATGCCTATTCAGCACAGAAGTGTAAATAGTTAACTCTTGTTGTTTTATGTCAAACTAAAAAAGCAGTGATTCATTGGTAGTACTTCCAGCATCTAAATGATACCGGTATTTTTAAAGACATACTTCAGTCTTCCATTATTTGAACTACTTCATTATTTATCCATCCCAGAATGGCAATGACAGCATAGCGCAATCACCGCTAGCATAAACGTGGCAATGTTTGGAATGCAAGCTACTGCCAAGGACTTAAACTGTGATTTCCTGCCTCCACTGCACTCCTCCAATACTCGAGCATTTAAATATTAGCTTTTGTCAAAAGAAGGTGGCTACCTGCCAGGCCTAACTCATGAAGTCAAAATATTCAACCTTATGCTACAAATGAAACTGAATCTAAGATAAGACAAGATCACATAGGCCTGCGCCACAGTCCACTAGGCTTTCTACTGCTCAGAGAAAGAGACATCTATTTCTGTATCTACCCAAAAATAGGACACACTTTACCTTCTCCAGCTGATTCACTGCTTCTTGGTTCTGCTGTTTCTACGGAAGAAAATTGATGCGCCAGTATTAAGAGAAAATACTCTCATACTGCTGAAACACATTTTCACTGTAATGAAGTAGGATACATGCCCCAGTAATGCACACAGGTTTTCCATTATCCCTTCAGTAGAAGACTAGGAAGTTCGTCTTAGCTATTAAAAATAACAGATTTGGGGCTTCCTTCAGTTCATATGCCAGGTATGTTTTCTCATTGCTCAATACACTACCACAGTTCTTCTCAAATACCACTACTGAAACCTGAGCATCCACCAACTTCAGTTAAACTTGCATCCCACATGTATAAAATTAATCGTAGTAATCTTGGTGTATGAGGATAATCACCAAAAAATGCTTTAAAAAAAAAAAACAACACCACAAAAAACACCCCCAAAAACCAAACAAAAAATGTAGTCTTTTCCTTTAACCGAGACCTTAGACCTTTATCCCACTTAGCAACTGGCCTTTAAGTCACGCAGAGCCGCGCTTACGTTGGCAGGCTTCTGCAAAAGGTGGTATGAGAAGGAGCTGAAGCCAAATGCAAAGAAAAGGGATAATTCTGTCCTAGCCAATTTCAATCTTCTGGGTGACGTGTCCCTTCCAACCTGAGATATTCTATGATTCCAAGTATTTGGAGATTTGCTGACTGTATGCATCTTTAGATACGGGGTGAAGGAGACAAAAGTGGCAGCTGTCTACCTAGGCATGAGTTAGAGGTTCTGATTCTAGCAATGCCAGTGCACAACATAACCAGGAAAAGCAAAGGCAAGACCACAAATGCAGCAAAGGCCCTACTTAGTTCCAGGCAAACAGAAAAGCAGGCAAACAAGGAGAATCCTGGGTGGGCAGTACACTATACCAGGTGCTCTGCAGCCCAGCTAAAAGACTACAAGAAACAAAATGGAACAAAAATAACCCAGAACTCTTCAGAAGTAAAACAACAAGAGGGGTCATGGGGTACACAGGGAAGTGCTGAACTTTGGGAAGAGGGTAGTTTGAGAGAGGAACAAAATGGGGAAAAGGATTTCACACAAGAAAGGCTCTTTCAGACTGAAACAAGTCCACTTAGCTGCATTTCTTGCAGTGTTAAAGCTGAAGGCTGAAAAGCAGCGGCAGGAATCCATGCAGGCCACAGGACAAAGCAGTTCATTCATCGTGCCAAGAGAAGCTGAGGATATGATCAGAAACCAGCCCCAAGCTCTCTCTTAGACCTATTGCTCCCACTCTGCTGATATATTTAGAACAGCATCACCACCTGCAGAAACAGGTTTTCACACTGCTGCCAGCACCAGAATTCTGTATTTCAGGGATTCAGATCAGGACCAGAAATAGCTGTTTTATCAGGATGCGTATCATCCAGGGAAAGCATGATGAGATCAACAGAGCACACTGAAATGGAAACAACAAAACTCTGTTTCTTGTTCCTCAGATGAGCCAATACATTCACAAGCGGCCTTAGACTTTGATCCTCTTAACAGGTTTTCCATACAGCCCATTTTGTTCCTTATAAAGTGCTGTGTAAGCAGCCTTCCTTGTGGCACTATGAGAGAACCCGTAACTTTGCAGACACCCAGAGAGCATGGAGGAGCAGCAAAGACAATGTCAAATTGGTCGGTTGGATTGTTTCTTACCAATTCCTCTATCTTTGTAACGAGCTGTTTGTTAGTTAGATTGCTGGAATCCAGGGCTACTGCCAGCTCCTGGTAACGTGTCTGACGGGCACATGCAGACAGGAGAAAAAGGAAGGAGCAGGAGAGGAGAAGGGGAGGAAAAAGGCAATAATTAAAAAGGACAGAAAAATAAATCATTATCACAGTTTGATATAATCAGATTCTCCAAACAAAACAAAATCTACAGTTTCATCAAAAGCAGCTGGGACGTCAACAGAGTTTATCCATTTCTGCTGAGGCTTCATTTTGACATAAAAGTGAATCAGAAATAAGAACTGCAGTTGCATGGAAGCCAGATTATCCCCAGTCCCCAAACTGGAAACACCTCCGATACCTGCCTCCTACTGTTGACCACAGCTACCCGATTACAGCACAAGACACCACCTGACAGTGAGCTATGTGAACTATGCATCAATTAGATCTCATTAACACTGCTATAAGGAGAGTCCCAATAAGTGATCAACAGTAGCAAATAAGAAAAAAGAAAAAAAATGATAGATTGAGAACAACTTACTTCCATTTCCTTAATATTTGTGGAAGAAACAGCACTTTCCCCATTCACATACGACGTAGACTAGAAGTAAACCAGTCAAGTAAGTCAGTTTTATTCCCCAAGGCACCAAATCACCATTAAGTAAGAACCAACTATCATAATAATACTTCTTACAGCACCTTTCACTTCAAAGTACCAAGACAGGTACAGAAAACATACTTTTCTGGCTAAGGATAGATGCAGACTCCCCCTGTGACAAGCTGATGTGCATTATGCAGATTGACTTCAGATTCTTTTCCACTAAGTCAAGAATACATCTTTCCATGAATACATGCTGTTCATTCATCCCACTCTGCTTTTCTTCCTACTGCTGAAATTTTACATTCCTAAACCATTGCTTCTCGGTGCTTAAATATCTTATTGTTTGGTAGGATGTCTGCAGACACCTCTGAGACTGAAGAGTGTTTTCTTGAGCTGACTGCTAAAAGCTCCACATCAAATATCAAGAGAATTAATAAGACAAATGGATCAAAATGAGGCCATACCTGAGAAACCAGGCCATTGAGTTGTTCAGACAACTGGCGGAGACTTTCTGTTGACGAGAAAGACCTGGGAACAAAAAAAAGACATTGCCATGAAAATTTCTCCCAGAGAACTGCCCAAATCAGAACAGCACTGGGGAGGAATAAAACCGTAATTTGTTGGGACACTTTGGGATCCCGTTGCAAAGCTGTTTGATAAACAAACACAGACACTCACCTGTTCTCATCCAAAGTGTTTTTATGATCCTCAGCTTCATGAATCTGTGGATTGAAACACAAAAATTTACAAGCCTGTAAAAGAAGATGGAAGTCAGATTTGTGAATATGTCACTAAGACTTGATTACATCTGGGCTCTGGTTCCACAGTACCTGTAATTACTGCTTCCCAAAGAAAGATGAACTTAAAACCACCAACTCAGTCTTGGCTTACACATAATTTCTGAGTGGTGTGAGCCTGGGTTTCTTGGAATGGAGAAATTTAAGTGTTAAAGGCTTTATGTTTGCTGTTACTATTTATCAGTACAATCAACACTTTGCTTTGCTGGGAAAAACTTCAACTGAATCTTTAAGTAGTGAAAGGAGATGCAGATTGATCTGACTGGGGACCTTCTGTCTTAGTAAGGGCACTTTCTGCTAATGAAATAGGAGAGAAGGGGAAGGAAAATAGCAGCTTTGGGACACACAGGGGCATGTGCACGCTAGTGCTCTCTCTGCTCTCACAGACAGATGATGACTAGATGGAGAGTGGAGAATGAAGCATTTTTAACAGGAGAAAATCTGCACTAGTCACGTCGTGTTGATGAAGATCATCTTTCTCGGAAAAAACGTGGTATCACTAACCAATATTGAATGGTTCAATGGCAATATTCATGATGATTCACAAACCTGTGTCAGCTGCATGCTCCCAGGAGCAGGCAGAACAGAACCACAACTAGGTAGACTGTTGCTGTTAGATAGCACAGGGACATCGGTAGCAAGCTGTTCAGCGTTACGAGTGGCAACATCACTGTCAAAGTATGCCTGTCACAAAACACATCACAGGAATTACAGCCTTCATGCAAAATGAATGAAAACACACATGAACACATCACCTGTGATCTGCCTGTGAAAACTAGACAGATGTGAACAATCAATCATTTAGAAACACATGGAAGGGAACCTGTGTTCTCCCCAGAGCAAACAGGTGACTCCATCAACCCACGAACAAACACTGTCCCAGACCTGCGCCCTCTCAGAGCCAGTCTGAAGAACCGGTCTCCCATAATCAAACCTGCTGCTTTAACACGGGGCAATAACGTCACCCAGCTCTAAGTTCACACACTAGATTTACTGCAAAGGAGTCGCCAAAAAGCAAGCGAGGGCAAAGCCAGATGGTAGTCATTGAAAAGCACTACCTGCAAGATGTGTCTGGGGAAAACACGGATCTCTGTATGCAAATTAAGATGGAAAAGAACAGGTTAGTGACTACTTGAAAACTGGGTTAGTCAAACTCGAATGCTCCGTCTAAAACTCAGTGAGGTTTGTGGCAGGCCATGGACCACAAGTAGAAACAGGACATTTATGAACAGGCCAAACTCAGTGTGGCTGGGAGCAGGTGCCTGCGACCCTGCTGGAGCTATGAATCCCATGACTAGAAGAATCTAAATAGAAAAGAGAAGGGCCAAAAAACTATTTCTGGACAGCGATGCAAGTTCTCATCCAGCCTTGGTGGGAGGATGAATAGCATCCGATGACACCTCTACCAAGCCACAGTGAACTGGAGAATTTCATCTATCTTGTACAGCATCAGAGCGCCATAACGGCCCAGAGCAGCGTTCTAGTGTTTTATGGCAATTTGTTTTATTTCATCATCCAGCTCCAGTAAGTCATCATTTAACAACACTACGAAGCAAATGAGATCATCTGTCAACGCTCAACCCCACCAATACACCGCAGCTCTCTGCTGTTCCATCTGAAAGCGCTCCCTCCTACTTCAGTCACTTCCTCCTTGGCACTTCACAGGGAACAAGAAATCTCTCTCTTGGCATTCCCTGTTTACCTGCTCAGCGCTTCATTCATGAACCAAGCAGCAAGAATACAGTGACAGTGAAGACAGATTTAATGAAAGCAATAAGCTGGAAGACTGCAGAGGGAAACAACCAGAATTTTCTACATTTCTTTTTAGCAGGCCAGATACTTGTGCTCTCAAGGAGCAATACAGGTTGGGTGCTTATAGGAAGGTCAGGAATTCCCTTACTTCCTCCAGTTACAGGGACTTCACCTTTATTGGTTCAGACACTCATCAATGTAGAACATCAGATGGACAGAAGGAATATCTTCCCCAGTACATCTCAAAAATGTTTCCTTAATTTTTTTCTGATCAGGACATTGTTTTTGCTTAATGCTTCAAGATGCAAAAACCAGCAACATGCCTTAACCACAAGAACTCCCTTCTTCTTCCACTATAAGCAGTTTTGAAATACATAAGAAAACCCAAAACCCAAAAAACTAATTGAACAGCTGAATTTCTTGGAAACAGAATGAGTTAGGAAGAAAACATTTATCTGGAAATTATGCATTGTGAGGTTCTAATAACGTAGAATAAAAAGTTAGTAATTCTGCTCAGCTTAGCATATAGTCGGATCCATTTGCTTTCACACAAAGGCTCCTATTTTGTTGGGTTTTCTGTGTTTCACAGCCAAGAAAGCTGAAGTGGGTGAGATGGGAGGGATCTGCCTCACATTAAGACACCAATGGTAGCAGTAGCTCAGATGCTAACGATGAGCTTTTCCGCCCTATTAGCATCAAGCAAGTTTCTGAACAGCATTTTCCTGACTCAGGATTTTTACAAGACAGCAACTGGAAAGAGAAATCTTTCTTTCATTACATATTGCAATTAGTTTTCAAATTATTCCTAAAACCTCAGACAGAATAATGCACAAATTCCGTAACAGCCAATCAGATCAAAATTTATCTCTTGGAAGCACAGAAAAAAAAATTGGGAAAACAAGAACAAATAGAAGTAATAAATTCTCCATTTTCAGAACAGGACTAAAACCGCAGACACAGGTAGCTCTTCACTGCAAGACCAAATGCCATCTCAGCAACAGCACCGGAGCACCCATCTTCATCTCACCCTCCAATGTGAAACAAGTCTCCTTCTCTGAGATCTAACTTACACTGAGCTTCCGAGTGTGAAGTGAAAACAGTCCCCATGACCAGAGTGAAACTTCAATCAAAACATGCTTTCTGATGCTAGACAGGCACATCCCGCACCCACAAAGCTTGCAGTAAGTCTTCGTGTCACTCAGGTTCTACTGATACGCAACCTACGCAGACAAGGTCCAGCTGGAAAGCTTTCTGCTGTCCGCTCTGTGTGCTGGACAGAACAGCTGCTGTATTATCACACAGAAAAAGGAGAAAAGGGATACAAAGGCAATTCAGAGTGAACTCCTTGCAGGTTTCACTGCATCTCTCTGGTACCCCTGGTGATTACTATAGTTATATTTATTGCTGGAGACACATGGATATGCAGTAAATATAACAATGAGTTACTTTATGACAACTCAAGTGAAACAATGGTAGGGAAATAAACTACCAATATGATGCAAGTGAAAATGAAAAGCAGAGCTTTGGTACAACAAAACTGGAAGAAAATTCTGGGCTACACAATTTGACTTCCCCGAGTTTCTACCACAATTTGAACCTTATTTAAATAAACTGTCTGAAATACATTTTTTAAAAAGGCTGTTTAAGTTTGCTCCTGAACACATTTCTATCGCTTACTGGCATACTTCCTGCCCTTTCCTCTTCAGAAGCTTGGGAATATGAAGACGCTAAAGCCTGTAAATGCTTGACTTGAAGTATGTGACTTCCTGCCTAAACATATTTAAACCTGCGGTACTTGCCAGACTGTACATCACCTGTGCAAGTTTCATCGCCTGTCATAAAATGGGTTGGCTGGAATAACTAACACAGCTTCCTCAGGGCAGCTGCTTGCCTGGAGATGAGCAGAAACATGCCCTTCAGAAACGGGGCTCTAGGAAATAAAGCAACGATGTGCAAAACAGGAGAAATACAGACTAAGAAAACACTGCCTCTCACTAGTGCAGTTTTCCTCAGCGGTTGTTACTTTATTGCCTCACCCCAAATTCCTGGTTTTCCTCAAAGCTCAACCGTCTCAAGGAAGAGGTTCTGACAAGGTTCACTTTTTCACATGTTAAGTTTGACACAAACCAGAAGGAAACAAGCACTTAGGAGCAATGGAAACGCATGTTAACAAATAGCTTCATGTTAATAAAAACAGCAACAAAACTCAAGCAACTGACAGTGGATATGTCAGGACAAGGCTCCATCCGAAAAATCGAGGTCGGTGTAAACAGAACCCGAAGCATGCAGTAGGGAGAGCGAGTCACTGCGAGGGACACGAGCACTGCCTCACCTTCCTCTTGTCCAATGAGGGTATGGCTACCCCATTGGAGCGGTTAAGGTCTGACACCAGCACCTTCAGAATGTTCTGAATCTAAAGGAGGCGAAAGAAAAGGGGAAAGAGAAACAGCTCAGAAAAGGACAGAGAGAAAATGTCAAACAAAGGCAGCCAAAGAAACCGGCATCCTCCAGCTCGTTAGAGGCACGCACCTCAAAACAGCAGCTCTGGACACACCCAGAGCTGCGTGACAGCACTGTATGATCGGGCACCGCTTCGGCACATACCCTGACTCGAGCGTGCTCCTTCCCGTAGAGGTAGCTGCTAACTATTGTAGCACACTTCGTACACTGGCAACACAGGCACCTACGCCATTCACATCTTACACCAGCGTAACCCTTTCCTGGCTCTAGTCATGTTGTTCGGGAAACCAAAGAACAAGGAGGTGGCAAAGGATTTGGGAGACAGATTGAGACACTCACGTTCTCTGGAGGCTGCCGGTCATCGTTGGTGGGAGTCCCGGGCCTACTGTCTTCTTTAGTTTTTCGTTTTTTCTTGGTTCCTGCAGTTGCTCCAGGGTTATTCTTCTGCTGATATTCCTTCAGCTGTGAAAAAAGAATAATCTGAAGTCCAAACAGAATATACCTTCTATAACGTCAAAAAAACCCCAACAAACTCCACTGGGTAAAAAAACAGATCAAGTGAAAGGACAAGAGAGATGCCCTTCAAAGAGTTTGTCCCTTGGGGGGCAGGGGGGAATCAAAAAACAAGTCCAGAGAAGCCTAAAGTAAGAACTAGTGTGATGGGTTTATGACAAGAGGCTCAGAGATGTAAACGTTCAACTTCTGCGTGCAGCTAATGATGTTCTTGGGAAACAATTTGATAGTCCATACTGCAACTAAAAGGAGATTAAAAGAAATATTTTGGGGGTTTTTAGGGTTATAACAAAGAGCAATAAGGAAAAATTAATAAAGGGCAATGAATCCTGAATGCAAAGTGAAAAAGCAGTGCTTGGCAGTAAGATCTTCCACTCTGTGTAAGATTTTAAGAAGGAAAACGACAATCCCCGCAGATGACACATTAATACAGATACTGTAGTAACTGTGAACTAAGGGGACAAGCAATCTACCAACTGATTTTTAAATCGCACCCATTTCTCCCAGGACAAGCTAGTCCGACGAGCTGTCATCCTGCCAGGTCTTCCGGCATTTTCGTGTGTTACTGAACACCTAAGCCCCAAACCAGGTGAGGCCCGAGCACCTATGTCAATTACCTGCTGCCCCCGGCCCCCGCTGCGCCAGAGCCCGGGCGGGCAGGGCAGGCTGCGGCCGCGCTCCGGAGCCGCAGAGGGGGGAATATAAATAAATAAAAAGAAGGATCCCATTATTCGGAGGATTTCAAAATGGAAGCCTGAACTGCTCCAGGACACTTTCCCGTTCGTATGACTTTGAGACAGAGGCACATCCCGCCGGGACGGACGGGGCCGAGCCGTCCCGGGGGAAAA